TTCTCAGATACTACTAGACACCTGGTGATGAGGTTGCATTGGGATTTAACAGTAATCTGTTGACACATCGGAAACATCAGGTGCCTGGAAGTATTAAGAATGATCTGCACTTTATCTTAAAATGTTACAGGACTGCCTACTGCAGCTACTGTGGTGACTCCCAGCTTGATAGTTCCTTGTAAAATGGTATCTTTCTTTTCTTCGTCTTCTTCTTCTTCTTTTTTCTATTCAATAAAATCTGTGACCACAGTTTCCACATTCTGTCTCACTTGATATATGTACAAATCTCTCCACACTGCATCCCAAGTATAATAATAAATATTCTCTATGATCATCAACACTCCTTGCATATGTAGATAGTTTTCTACACTACTGTCATGTCACTTTAAAGAATCTATTTCTGCTGGTTTCCCTTTATCCATCCACTCTTTCATCTACTGGAAACTTGAAGAAAAAGAAATTGTGGCTTGTTTGCCAGCAGAACTATTTGCCTGTTTCCTGTTAGCATGAATTGCTTACACACTTAACTACAGAAGTTTTTGATAGGGCTGAATATGAACGCATGTACTTGTAGAATACAGCGCAAAGTCCCATTTGTTACAAGATTAAGGGCTTGGATGGAAGTTTGATTTAATCTGGCCATGAAATTTACACTTTTTTTCCTCTATGTGAACCATTTAAAATTTTGGTTTGTAAATACATTTTGTCTGTGTATATAAACACACACCGGTACATTTATGTCTAAACATATTTATGCTAAATTATTCTTTAAAACTACTATTCTTTATTAGAGGATGTATACATTGTGCTGGTTGAATTGTTAAGTAACAATAAGATGTGTTTGTGCACAGTAGGTGTCTTAACTATGTATGACTAGTAAAGTAATAGTCTTTATATGTTATCCTGTCAACTGATTAATCTATTGAATAAACATGGCCTGATTTTCAGAGTTGCTGAACACCTGCAATTCTCTTAGAAATCAATGGGTGCTGAGTTCTCAGTGCTGCTGAATATCGATCCAAAATTTTTCATATACATAATACAGGAAATCTGAAGATTTTCATAATTATGGTACAAAACCCCACTAATTCACATTAGTTACTTATAAACCCATTGCAAATACTGAAATTTACTCACAAATTAGTGAGTAAAAGGACAGTTAAAACATAAAAGATAATGAATTGCAAAATGTACTTAAATTGGGAGAAAATTATGCTACCTCATTCATACTGAGCAGTACTTTGCATGGCAAGTATTCTCATTGGGCCAGATTCTAAGTAGTACCTTTTTCCAGGTATCCATCAACTCTGATGGGATTATAGGTGAGATATGATGCTATGTACATGGATAAGGATATCACAATCTGACCTATTGACTTTAGTCTGGGAATAACTTCAGAGTACAAAGGTAAGAAAGGGAAAATCTGGCCCTTATTGATTAGACAACTGTAGTCTCTACTTAATTATTTATACATTTTTGGTAGTGTATGTGATGTAATATAATGTAGTATATTTTGTAAACATACAAAATCTTATTAGAACCTCACGAGAGAACTCTATTAAATCCTTGCTGAGAAACAGGACGAGAAAGAGAGCTGTTCTGCTGTGTAAATTAGAAAGTAGGAGATTAATGTGGTTCCACCATACATATGTATTAAAAAAACTAAACTGAATATTCACTAGAGAAAATACTTATAAAATAGCTTAGCTTTCACCTACTTGAAGCAATGAGCAAATTGTGCATTTTTCACTAGTTAATGAAGGTGGACAATAACCCTGATAAAAGAAAAGGAGAACTTGTGGCACCTTAGAGACTAACCAATTTATTTGAGCATAAGCTTTCGTGAGCTACAGCTCACTTCATCGGATGCATAAAGTGGAAAATGCAGTGAGGATGTTTTATACACACAGACCATGAAAAAATGGGTGTTTATCACTTCAAAAGGTTTTCTCTCCCCCCACCCCACTCTCCTGCTGGTAATAGCTTATCTAAAGTGATCACTCTCCTTACAATGTGTATGATAATCAAGGTGGGCCATTTCCAGCACAAATCCAGGGTTTAACAAGAACGTCTGAGAAACCCTGATGTTTAGAAACTAGTTCTTCCTTTTACTGGCTACCTCTTTTGCTTCCTCACAGCATAGGTTATTTTCCTAGAAGTAGATATTCTACTAGGGAGAGAGCCTGATCCTCCACTCTTTGCTCATGGAAAACTCCCACTGACTCCAATGAGAGCTTCACTGAAGTGCAGAATCAGACCCAAAGTAGCATGTGCTTCCTGATTTTAAATGCAGAGTTTATATATAATACTTAATTTGGGGATGGGGAGAGAAAGAAGGCAAGAAAATATAAAATTTCATTTCTGTGGCATGTAAAATCTGTAGCCTTTGGTGAAGACATGCAATTTTTTCCACAGAGTTCTCTTAATACAAACTCCTGATACTATAAACTTGGGCCTATCCTGAACAAGGCCCAACAACTATGTCAAACTGCGTATTTGTTTTATGATTATATTGTGACTATTAAATTCAGGTCCACTTGTGACCTAAACTAAATTTGATCCAGCTTTCCATAAACGAAAGATGAGTGTTTCTTAGCTCACTAGCTGCATCACCTTGCTCCAAAATACTGTGTGCAGATACTCAGGAAAACAGAAAGTTAAATATTAGGTATACAGGTTCATGCTATCAGGAATTACGGTTAAGATTTTCCACAGTCATCACAGCAAAACTTTCACAGAAACCACAACACACCTTTTTTTACGAGAGGAAATTCCTCTTTCAGTTTTATATAAATCTAAAAAAAAATCATGACTGATATGATACAGTGAACACTTTAAAAAAGGAATAATATTTACGACTGAGATTTTACACTACAGTTGAATCTTTACTATTGGGTAGCATCAATACATGTATTAATTGCTTTATATAAACATTACATGGTTGCAAGAGAATATAATTTTCTATGTTTTAGAAAGTATTACACTTGTCACTTGGAAAAAAAAGAATTTTTGTATTTTAACAACTTCATTTTATAGTAAAAAAAAATTACATGACTTAAACAAGAGTCATTGAAAGTTATTTGTCTTTTAAAGCATGAATTATATTCAAATTATTTTCAGTATTGCCCTAACCTAATATTGCTCCTGAAGTGTCACTTTTTGTTAAAATTAATTTCTGATTTTGAATATTACTCAACCACCTAATTGATAGCAACACAAATTCATGATAAGTATAAAATGAAATTGTTTCTGTGACACAACTCAACAGTGGGTTGAGGAATAGTTTGCAGTGACCTTGTACACATGGCATTTTTTCTGCAGTTATTAAAATATAGAGCTATAGTAGATCAATTATTGGCTACCTCCCTTGAGAATATTAGATGCCACTGGAAACTAGTAAATTTGGTGTTCACAAAACTGCATCATATGAAGCCTCAAATGCATTACGAATTTCTTTTTGATATATTAAGTGTCTACAGTGCAACTTTTTCTCATTAGCTGGCAACACAAAATGAGTCTGTGTCACTTTTGATACACTCAGCTCATTCCCCTATGACTCAGAACAGCATATTAGGAGAACCACAGGACAAAACAGATATGACACTTCAGATATATTTAATAGTCATTACCCAGAGCCTGCATTCAATGAAAACTCTAAAAATTTCTTTGGAGCATACCTGTAACATTTGAACATTAAGCCACACTAATCAAGGAATACTTTAAATTAGATCAATTAGGGCCAGATTCTGCCCTCAATTTCATGGTATAAGCCCACTGCTCCAGAAACATCTTCTGTGTTTGAACTTCAAACTGCACACTATGTATTAAGTTGTTCTGTTAATTAAATATTAAACTCAATCCAATGGCCCAAATTCTGCCACCACTGACATACATGAAAGTCAATGGGTGATGAGTGTTACTGAAGGCAGAATGTGGCCCACTACTGCATTTTTCAAAAATGAGCTTTGATAAAAAAACAACAGAGCATGCAAGTCTTTCACTATAAAGCAATAGTCAATACTGATTCAGGCTACTGGAAATCTGACTAGTCATTCTGTTGATTTACAATAGGATTTGAGGTTTGTTAACATTGGGGAGGGAAGAAGGAACTATCACTTACATTTTAATCTAGTTAACTAAGCGAACTTTCCAAGACTGAAAGTTTTATTGTTTTCAGAGAAGAAAAAGAAGTAATGGGGCCCCAAATTATACTGTTCTGTGTCAAAGATAAAAAATATATGTATATATGGTCAAAAAAGGAAAATAAAAAAATTAAAAGCATACATTTTGGCAATAGTCCATATTACATACAGGATTGGAAGGCTATATTCACTGTTGCAATAGATTTCCTCAGGAAAAAAAAGTGTGTCCTTAGTGTGTACAGTTTCTGCAATGTCCTGTTGGTTACAGCAGCAGACATAACTTCTTCAAATATCCCACCCCATCTCCGCCCCAAACAAAAGTTCAGTGAAACCTGTGGAAGAGACAACCTTTAATAGTTGTTTGCAGTGTTGTTGTAGCCATGTTGGTCCCAGGTTATGAGAGAGACAAGGTGGGTGAGTTTGCCTTTCCCAGACTTGAAGAAGAGCTCTGTGTAGCTTGAAAGATTGTCTTCTTCACCCACAGAAGCTGGTCCAATATAAGATATTACCTCACCTACCTGGTCTCTCTCACCTTTATTAGGCAGTTCCCGTTTTAGGAGACTACCCTCAAAGTATACCAAACATATTAAGCTTGACTGTGTTCTCACATAGACCAGCTTTAGACTGGTGTAACTCCATTTATGTCAGTGGAATAACTTTTGATTTACACTGGTGACACCAGCATGAGAACAGAATCAGATCCCTCAAGTATGATCTGCACACCTTTATTTTAATAAGTCCACCTCCCTGAAGTGACTGATTTTTGTTGGTGCCTTACAACAGGTTTCACTGCAGACAAACTGTAAAGTTTAAACCAGAGTCTAAAGTGAGGTCCAGGTTATTCTAAAAGTCTCCTACCTGAATTATGGACATCCGGCTCGGGGGAGCCTCGCTGGCGTTAGTTCCTTGCCCTGTGAAGCTGGTATGGCAGCCCACATGTCCCTGGGGCACAGTCAGGTTGTTGGAGGCGGGTTTCAGATACATCACCTCGGACCTGGGTGAGCTGAGGGGCAGACGGGTCTGGTAGTCAAAGTACATGGGTGAGGTGGCCAAGGATGGGCTGCTCACTACGTTCATGACATTGAGGGGGCCCCTGCTGTCCTCCCCCTCACTGGGCACCAGCATGATGTCATTCTTACTGATCTTCTTCTTCTTGCCCTTACCCCCGCCACCGCTGCCTCCTCCTCCTCCCCCGCTGCTGCCGCCCCCTCCTCCCAGCTGGGGATGGCTGTACTCGGCGATGCGGCAATTGTAGGTGCGGATCTCCTTGTTCTCCCGCTTGCACTTCACAGCAATGGTGATCATGGCAGCTAGTAGGATGATGGAGACGGTACTCAAGGTCACAATCAAGGGCAGCGACAGGTCCCAGTGTGGTCGCCGATGCTGCTCACCATTCACCTGTGGCTCACCAGCTTCGGGCAGTGGTCCAGCCAAGGCCCTGACAATCAGCTTAGCCACGGCTGAGAGGCTGGGCTTGCCATGGTCACTGACCTTGACCACCAATTCAGCCACGGGACTGAGTTCTTCCCAGTATGGATGCAAAGTGCGTATCTCACCACTGGTGGGGTCCATCTCAAAGAGGTGCTCCTCATTGCCTTCGACAATCTCGTACGTGAGGCGTCCGCTCTCCCCAAAGTCACTGTCCAGGGCATGCACGGTGCCCACGGGGTAGCCCACGCCAGCGTTGCGTGGCACCTGGAGCTCCGCAGTGTCATTGATGAGGGCAGGCAGAACAATGAGGGGCGCGTTGTCGTTGACGTCGAGCACCGTGACACGCACTGTGGCGTTGCTCTCACGATGGGGCGAGCCTGAGTCCTTGGCCAGCACGCGGAACTCAAAGTGCTTGGTTTGCTCGTAGTTGAAGCTCCGCAGGGCATAGATGGCGCCATTGGTGGGGTTGACGGAGACGTAGGTGTAGATGGAGACGTCGCCCACGTGCCCGGGCAGGATGGAGTAGGACACAGTCCCATTCTGGCCCAGGTCTGGGTCCTGGGCCAGCACGGAGCCCAGGTACTCGCCAGGGATGTTGTTCTCAGGCACCTGCAGCACGTAGAGGCTCTTGCTGAAGCGGGGCGGGTTGTCGTTCTCGTCCAGGATCCGCACCGAGAAGGACTTGGTAGAGTTGAGCGGGGGGCTGCCCCCGTCCCGGGCCAGGATGGTCACGTTGTACTCGTCCTGCGCCTCGCGGTCCAGCGGCCGGTCGGTCACCACCGTGTAGAAGTTGTCGTAGTTCTCCTCCAGGGCGAAGGGCACCGCGCCCGCCCCGCCGCCGCCCAGCACCCGGCACTGCAGCTGCCCGTTCTTGCCGGAGTCGCGGTCGGTGACCCGCACCAGGGCGATGACGGTGCCCGGCGGGGCGGCCTCGCTGAGCGCCCCCTGGCGGACGGAGACGAAGCCGATGGCGGGCGCGTTGTCGTTGCGGTCGATGAGGCGCACGGTGACCTTGCAGTGGGCGGGGATGGGGTTGGGCCCCAGGTCGCGGGCCTGCACGTCGATCTCGATGAGGCCGCTCTCCTCGTAGTCCAGGTTGCTCTTGACGCGGATGAGGCCGCTCTGCGGGTCGATGCTGAAGAGGTCGCGGACGCGCTCGGGCGCGTAGCCGCTGAAGGAGTACAGCACCTCGCCGTTGGTGCCCTCGTCCGCGTCGGTGGCGTTGAGGTCGATGACGGCGGTGCCCAGCGGCGCGTTCTCCGGCAGCTCCACCACGTACGAGGCCGCCTCGAAGACGGGGCTGTTGTCGTTGGAGTCGATGAGGCGCACGTTGAGCTGCACCGTGCCCGAGCGGGGCGGGTCGCCGCCGTCCAGCGCCGTCAGCACCAGCGTGTGGTGGCTCTGCTCCTCGCGGTCCAGCGGCTTCTGGATCACCAGCTCCGGGAACTTGGTGCCGTCGCCCCGCGACTTGACGTCCAGCGAGAAGAGGCCGTAGTCGTCGCGGGTGAGCAGGTACGTGCGCAGCCCGTTGTCGCCGGCGTCCGGGTCGTGGGCGCTGGTGAGGGGGAAGCGGGTGCCCGGCGCCGCGTTCTCCGAGATGTCCATGTCCACCTGGTCGGAGGGGAAGGCGGGCGCGTTGTCGTTCAGGTCCTGGATCTCCACCTTGATCATGCAGATCTCCTGGTCGTTGGCGAAGACCTCCAGCGAGAGCTGGCACTTGGCGCTGCGGCGGCACAGCGCCTCGCGGTCGATGCGCTGCTTGGTGTAGAGCAGCCCGCTCTCGCCGTCCACGTCCAGCAGGTGCGGCGCCGAGTTCTCCAGCACGCGGAACGTCGACTTGGCTCCCCGGCCGCCTCCCCGCTCCGCCGGCGGCGGCGGCGCCGGCCCGCCCGCCCCCGCTTGCAGCCGGGCATCCCTGCCGATGTTCCCGATCACCGTGCCCGCCCCCTGCTCCTCCGGCACCGAATAATTCAGGTTCTTCAGAGTCAGGGCAGGAGCCCAGCAGAAGAAGAAGCAACAAATGGAAAGGTACATCCCCGAGCCAGGGGGTGGTGGCAGCTGCGGCAGCACCAGGGTGGCCCCTGCCCCCTCTTCCTCCGCCGCCTTCTTCCCGCTCCCTTCTTCTGTTCCCGCTCCCCACCCCTGTGTTTTAAGTTGCTGAACCTGTTGCTCTAAAACATCTGCAGAGACACAGGATGCGGGGCAGCAAATGGAGCATGTAGCTCGCAGGGAGGGGCGAGAGAGCGAGAGAAAAGCAGCCTCAAATCAAGCGCTTCTGCGGCCACACAATCCCCGCACAGTTACTTAGGCTGCCCAACTTCAGCTGGAGGAGGAGGAGGAGGAGGAGAATAAAAATATACCTTTTTCTTTAGACGGATCCGAATGGTTGTTTGATTTTTTTCCCCTTTAATATCCGCCGATTTACAAAGAGTATAAAAAATGATCGGTGGCAGTGGTGGTTTTCCAGATCAGTCCAAGAAATTAAAAAAAAATATATAGAAAAAGGAGTTGGCTGTTGGGAAGCAGGACCGTAAACAGAAAACGCTTATTTGCTACTCATTGCTTGTGATGCGACTGATGGAGTGGAGGGTGGGTAGGAGGGGGAGATAGCGGGGGAGGGGGGTAAAAAGAGTCTCTCGCCTGTGTAGAAGCCCGCTCCGTGTGCAGTGAGAGGCAGTGAAATGTCTGATTGCACCGCGGGGTTGTTGGTTTTCAGGGAGTGTTTTGCTGCATTTAGAGATCTAATCTTGCATTGCTTGCGGCGGAGAACTGCATCTCGCTGCCATCGGTATTTCCCCCTCGCCGGCTCCTCCACGCTCACTCTTTCCTTGCCGAACAACAAAAAGAGGGGAGGGAAATTGCAGTGTGAAAACTAGTGTCCGGATTTGTAGTTTCCTTTCTCTACCCGCGCCACTAGCCTCCCTCTCTTCTTTTCTTTTCTTTTTTTTTTTTTTTGGGGGGGGGATTAAGAAACCCACCAGCTGCTCGTCACCACTAGCGATAGATGTGGTTTTTTTTTTGTTTTTGTTTTTTTTTTAAATCACAGGCTGTGCTCAATCAAATGCACACTTGGGTTTCTTTAAGACAGGCCAGTAGCCGCCACCACCACCACATCCTCTCCTCTCTCTCTCACTCACACTGCGTGTGTGTGTGTGTCTGTGGAGCCGCACTTTTCGATGCAGTTTAATTCCAGTTTGCTTTTCTCTCTACTCGAGAGGAAATCAACAGGCAACCCATGGCTGGATGCACTGATTTAAAAAAAGAGGGCGAGGAGGAACAAAAAAATAAAAGCAACCCACCACACACACACTCTCTTAGTCTCTCGCTAAAAGGGAAACAGTCTCTGCATTCACAAGGCTGAGCTGTCAAGTGCCTCTCTTTTCTTTCTATTCAGCATCTCCTTCCAATGACACTGCCTCCTAGTCCTCTTCATTTAGGGGAGGGGGAATCTTGGCGATGAATAAAAGAGGCAAATATTTTGATCGACAATTCTTTTGGAATAAAACAAATACAATTCAGTGTTTGGTGTGATGCATTTTGCAGTCTTTTCAAGCTGTAATAGTCTTTCTGTGCATCTTGGTGTATGGGGAAAGAGCGGCTGCAATGCCAGATGCGTTCACCAGGGATGATTTACCTCCCCAGTGATATTATGTATAGGTATATATGGGGGGAGTGTTAAATTTTATTTCAGGTTCTTTTAACAGCCGAAAAGAAATGATTGACACATCCAGAAATGCAGGTGTTTCAATCTGCTGGATGAGTCAGATCCAGCAGAACAAATCACATTCACTATCGCCTCATGTTCCTCCCTTCACAGACATTAGTTGCAGCTTCTTCCTAACGCTTTTCTGACTCACGCTATAGACAGAGAAATCAGATTCATGTTTTGAAGGAAAAAAGAGAGAGGGGAAGAAAGAGGAGGGTGTCGGATCCAGCTGCACTTTTACTATACCTCTTTCTCCGGGAGACTGGGGATCAGGAAAACAAGGCTGTTATCCACTCACGGGCACAGAGGCGCGTCTGTCTCCTGCTTTGCTGAGTGTTTTTAGCCACCTTTCCTCAGTGTTATGTGTGAAACACCCAGAGATCTTGCACATTAACGGGGGGGAAAGCACAGGTTCCCATTGAAATGCCCACAGCTCTAGTTCCAAGTCTCAGTTCTGTGCTGTTTTTTTTCTCCTTTATTTGAGTCCGGAGCCACTGTACATAGTTAATTCTGCAGTCTGTTGTAGAGGGATTTTTAAAAATTCTTCTCTCGGTCTCATTGAAGGGTGGCACCTTTCAGTAAGGCATTAGCCAACGTTAACCAGACCATATGCAAAAGAGATGTCGATTTCAGAGAAAACAGATCCACAGTACAAGCCGTCCGTAGGTAAGTGGAGATTTGCGAAAATTCAACAGTTGGAACACTGTCTGTTATAGCTCCCCCCCTCCCTTACTGCAGCATTTGCTGGGTTCTCAGCCCCATCGCTCTCTCCCAGTGCCTCTTGCCGACTGACTCTATTCACCTCACGCCGCTGCTTAAACATTGATACTGATTCCCTGCCAGCCAATCCGTGCTGAGGAAAAGAACCTGCCTCCGAACCTGGCCGCCAATGAGAATCAGTGGAAAGGCTTGGGGAGGCGGTGCTTGAATCCCCAGTGCTTTGGTGTCATTGATTAGATCGGTTAGATTGGAGACTAACAATGTGAGAAGGGCTTGTTGCTTGTAAATTGCAGTCTCTCATTTCTACACACTGCAGTGTTTCTCTGGCATTTTAAACCATTTTTTGTAGAAATATTAAGGAGTCTTCGGTGATCGCTGAAAATAGAGAAAAATTAGGACCAATACTTCCCATATGTCAGACATTAAACAAACTGTAGTAGCGGCGTATGACGGGATGAAATTTGCATAGATGACATAGATCCCAGATTCCCAACAGGTTCTCCACGTAAATCCCTGAGTACGGTTAGAATGCTTCACTGTGGGAATGGGAGAATGTGCCGTGTGATCCAGCTGCTGGTCTTGTATATCTTCTGTGATACCGGCGGGTAGGCAGCGATCTTTACCCAACTCCCCTGCCTTCGGTAAAAACATTTGAGTTGCCACTTGATAAACAATTATTTGAAACGCACTAATGTAGTAATGCATGACAGATAACCCGAATATTATAATTTTTCCAGCACATACTGATCAATAAGTGTCTCAAGAGGCGATAATCAAATATATCTGCCCTCTCCGCAGGTCCGTTAAACATTTCATTAGAAATCGGGCCCCACCCTAACCACAGTAGGCAGGTTTCAGAAGATGACCAAAATATAAATCTTATCAGGCACAAAGGAACCTTTTTCCGAATGCTGTGTGGTACCTATGGAAGCCAATGCGGTGGTAAACAACTAGAATAGGCAATTTCGGCACTTCTGCAAATGATTCTGGACCACAAGAAGATTCTTTTGCATCCAAGTATTACCAATATTTAGAAGCACCTGGCGTGCTCTGTCACCCCTTTCTTTTCCTGGAGTAATGTTTTAGTACCGAAACTAGGACTACTGTCTCTACACATATATTCCCTCTTAAAGCAGCCATCTGGGAGAGAGCTCTGTAAACTTCGACTACTGTTCAGACATCCCGGGCGAAAGTTGGGGGAGGAGGAGGGAAGCATGATGTATTGAAATAGAAAGGTGAGTGTTTTGATTGCTAATGTATTGATCTCACTTCATAAATACTAAAGTTAAGCTGCCATTTATAAATTGTGAATGACGAATGTGTAAGTGAGTAACATGTATCATTTAGGAAGTAAAGAAAATAAAATCTAGAGCAATTACAAGAGGCTTCTGGAAATTATTTTAGAGCAGTTTGTTAAAAATTCAGGTGAGAGAGGGGTTTTTTGCCTGAGTCAATGAAATTACACTCAGGCTTTTTTTTAGTTATGTCCATCAATATCATTCAACTCAGAGTACATATTTTACATTTATATATTCAAATCAGTGTCCTTGCTAGAGCTCTTCCCAATCCTAAGACCCCTTTGTAGCTTTAAAATGGCTAGTTTGCCATGCAGAATGATTCTACTTCTAACCATTATGAAACTAATGCTGTGTAAAATCTATCTATCTATCTATCTATCTATCTATCTATCTATCTGTTACAGTGTGGAATCGCTAAACTGAAACGTACACATAGTCTGTGTGCCAAAGAGAGACACTATATATATGGTATATTTATAAACTGGGCTTTCTGAAAGGAGGATTCTGACTGTGTATGGCTGTCTGCTACAACTAGTCTGTTTTTATTTACCAAAATAAGACGTGAACCAACAACACATTTTGTAAAGTGGAACATCGATACAAAGATACTCAGTTGTCTCAGCAGGTTTGTATCACCCATCCTTTGGTCTTGTGCTGTTATTATTATATAGTTAGGCAACCGTTGCCAAATTAAATACTTCAGGATATCGAAATATGTGACATAAATGCTCTGTGAATATGAAAAAGTGTCTCATTGCATTTATGTACTAGCTCCCTCTAGTGTTCTGAGCCAGTACTACTGCATTTGGGGCATCTTGTGGGTGAGTGGGTGGGTGCCCGTTTATGTACATATGTTGTCTCTAGTTTGCCTTTCTGTTAGGGACCAGTAGGGTTCCAGCATGCCAAAATAGTCACTTCACTTTTACAATGGAATATGATGAGTAATATGCATCAAAGGATTTCTTTCTAATTTTTATGTTCAGTTGAAATAAGATGCATTTGGGGATTTGTTCTCTCTCCCCCTCCCCTCCCCCCAATTCAGCAATTGCCTCTTTCCATTTGATATAATTAAGTATTCAACTTTACATGCTGAGCAGTTCTCAACTCACCCTGAAGTCAATGAAGTTGAGGGCACACATAGGATAAGCTCCCAGGACCTTGAAATAAGGGGCAAACTCTATAGCGCTTACTCAGCCAAAACTTCTATACAAATCAGTGGAAGTTTTGCTGGCAAAATTTGCTGGGAAAATTTTCCTAAAAGCACCAAAGAGCTACATACCATTTATACTAAATACACATGTAGAATATTTGGAAAAAAATATCAAAATATTAGTACCTAAAGTTAGGCCCTTAAATCCATATCTGAACACCGACACAAGTGGTGTGAGGTGAAATCCCATCCCACTTCAAGGGGTGGGTGTAGTATTTCACCCCTTGTTTTCAGAGACTTTGACTGTCTGTGGTTTCCATTGATTTCATAGACTTTGGTGCTCAGCACCTCTAAAACATCTGTCTCCCTTTCTGGTGTTTGTTCTGCCATGCAATTTATAGCCATGAAAAGCCATTTATTGATTTCAATCCATATGTGCAAATAGTATAATTTTTGTTTGTTTAACAACTCGCAGATATTTCTAAAATATTTATTTCTGTCAAATACGTAGCATATATTAAATGACTGTGTAGAGTGTTATAAAGGTTTTATCTGCATTAATTTGTAATAGGTGCATTACTCATGTGTGGAGAAGCCACAAGAGAGTTGTGAAGGTCATTGCAAATGAGTGCCAATAACACCTTTGTAGTGCACCACACCATCATGTATTCTGCATATGCCACATGTTTAGTGGGGGAAAAAAACCTATTAGAAATATTTTGTGAGATAAAATTTCTGAGTAGAGAGGACCATAAAGAGATAAACTATGTGGATATAACTCTCAGGACATAAGAATACAAATATACTAGGAGGATTATACTAACCAGCCTCCTGATCTGAAAAAATATATTGAGTGTTGAGGATGATCAACAAGACAACTGAGTCCAATAAAATGGCAATAATAAATTACTTTAACTACCTGCATATGAACTGGTCAAATGGTACAAGAGGACAAGATTTAGAAAATCAATTTCTTGACACCTGAAATTATTACTTTTTGGTTTTAGAACAAACAAAAGCAGGACTATTCTCAACTTCGTTTTAAGGTAACAGACAGCGGTTGCTTCAAGAAGTAACTTTAATTGAACTGTTAAATAATAGTTACCACAATATAACAAAGTTCAAAATCTTTGGAGTAAGGATTCATCCCAAACACTAGGTCTTGGTGACCCTATCCTGAGAAAGAAGGATTTATTTTATTTCAATTTAAAAAGACAGGAAACTAGTCAAAAAAACCTTAAATCAAAAGTATTGAAATTAAAATCCTTAGTCTCTGCATGGGGGCCACTTAAACATATCATAACAGTGATAGAAGACATTCATATCCCTAAACTAAAAAAGAAAGTAGGATGGCAAGGAGAAAATCATTATGGTTAAATGGCAAGGTTCAAGATTTAGGTTATTTCAGTCTAAAAGGTGTCCTTCAGAAAGTAGAAATCCAATCATTGTGAAACTAACAGAAAAGAACATAAACTACTGCAAGTAAAGTGAAAATTAGGAGGCCCAAGAGGGAATTTGAGGAGCAAAGTACCTGTAGATAATTGAACAGAAATAGCCAAACACTTACAAACCAATACGTTATTAAGTATATCAAAATCAGAAAGCCTGTGAGAGAATTGGTGGGTCTGCAGGATTACCAGGTAGCAAATGGAACAATTAAAGGATATCAAGACATCGCAGAGAAATTAAATGCTTTATTTGCAGCAGGCTTTACCGGAAATATTGGGGAGATATCTACCCCAGACCTACTCTTTTCACATAACAAAGATGAGGTACTACATAGAATGTCGTGTCAACAGAGCAACTGACGAACTAAAGATCACAAAGTCACCTGGTCTGGATGATAGACATCAAGAATTCTGAAAGAATCTAAAAATTAAATGACTGAGCTGCTATAAAATATGCACTCATTAAAATCAGTTACTATATCAGAGGATTAGAGGGTAGTAAATGCACTTATCTTTTAAAAAGGCTGTAAGGGTGATCCAGGGAATTATAGTCTAGTGAGCCTTACTTCAATACCAGGAAATTAGTTGAAATTACAATTAAAAATAGAATTATAAAACATCTAG